TGGATTCATCACCCTCTGTCCCAAATTTAGTCTTGTCGATCGTATCACATGGTCTTAGGATCCACAAAGCCACAAAAAAAAAAAAAAAAGATTAGATCAAGTCATCCAAATCTCGACATACTAGATTTAAATAATACAAGATTTTAATTGAATGTTTGTCGAAGTGTAATAATTAAAATAGAATCTAATCCAAAACAGAAGTATATATATACACTTCTTCTTTCAGTTAATAAAATTATTGTTGTCGTAAAGGTGTGAAGAGACAAATGGTTAAAATAAAACCTAAGGTAAACAAGTTATTAAATCGCTACATATCTTCTAAGATTGTAATTAATAAAATGTAATAATAAAAAATCTCAAATAGTTTGACCCAAAAAAAATCTCAATTAAAAATTTGAAGATTTTGTTATATAAAGTTACATGGATTTTATGTAAGCTGATAAATTGCAGTTTTAGGGGAACTTTTTAATTATATTAGATTTCTTAGCTATTTTGTATGGTGATTTTATAATATACTTTTTTTTTTTTTTCTCTTTCTAGTTTCCTTATATTTAATTTCTTTATTTTTAATTTATTAGTATGATTTCTCTTCTTAGTTATCTGAGTTATTATTATTCTCTTTATCTTCTTCATTAAAATTTTATTATTGTCTATTTTTCTTTATCATTTTTTCCTACTGCCGAGAAAAAAACTTTTTTTTCCTAGTGGATTAGCATATATAGGAGAAAGATTGTTAGAAAGTTGCAATTGGCAAATTTTGTTGTCATACTAAAATTTTGTTGTCATACTAAAAGAAAAAATGCCATACTATGTCCGTCCTTGCCTCCCTCCACCGGAGAACATAAAATTTTCTGGTTGTGTAATATTCGGACTCGATACCGAGAAGACCAATGAAATCTTCAACAAAATTTTCATGGAAAACTACTCGGAGCAAGCGTTGAAAGAATTCAAGTCGAATCCAAGGCTACGAGTGAATGTGATGAAAACCATCATCGCATCTTTCAATTGTCAAATCCATCATGAGATCATTAAGGAGAAAATAGGTTTCGCGATATGGATGATCGGTGAATATTCATTATCGTTTTCAGATATCGAAAATGGATTATCTGTTATCAAACGAAGCATTGGAGAACTGCCTCTCCCTAATTCTTCTAAGGATGACCACGATGTTCAAACATGTCATTGGTTTGAAGAGTGTCGTCGAAGGCTACTCATCGATGGAGATGCGAAACTCCGAACTCAAATAGCTATCGCACTAACCAAACTAATCGATAAACAAAAAGTCTTTATTCATGATATTTCTGCAGGAAAACTCAGACAAGAACGAGCAGAAGCTGTTAGGTTAATAGCATCGTTGCAGTTGCTGCCTAAACCCATTAATTTGGGACGTGCGACTATTGCTTTTTACAGCGGAGAAATCAGGAGATGCATGAGATCTATATGCCATCAAGATATAGAGCTTAAGCAGTTATGCGTAAATGCGAGTGGTGAGAATTTGGTTAGCTTGCTTCCAAGAAAC